AGCTCTGTGATCGTGTCACTCTGCCTGTATGCTCAGCTCTGTGATCGTGTCACTCTGCCTGTATGCTCAGCTCTGTGATCGTGTCACTCTGCCTGCATGCTCAGATCCTTGTTTCACTCCACCTCTATTTTCAGCTCTGTGATCATGTCGCTTTGCTTGCACGCACTCTTATTCTGTTGCTGTGGCTTTACACTCAGCTCTGTGCATCTGCTTTCATGCTCTGATTTGTGGTCAAGAGCAGACCTTGCCCTGTCACCATGCTGCCCGGTCTGTATTTTCAGCTCTGTGATCGTGTCGCTTTGTCTGCATTCTCAGCTTGTTATTGTCTGGCTCTGCCTGCATGCTTAACTCTGTGATCGTATCGCGCTGTCTGCATGCTCAGTGATTGCATGTATGAGTGGTCTATCTCCACTCTCATCTCTCTGTTCACAGGCTTCTTCCAGCACATTGAACTCTTAGTCAAGCAGAGGCCTTGTTATAGGATGAAATATGCTTTCTTCCTAGTGGCAATTATTTCTATAATTACAATGGAAGTAAAGTGAAATAAAGCATCTTTACAAAGACAAAAGGGGTGCATACGGACTGTAATATACTGAGTGTATTGAGGGCACTGTTTGGACAGGATAATTGGGGTAATTATGCAAGAACACAGTCCAGTGAACTTCTGTAGTGATGAAGGTGCCTTAATTAGCCTTGCAATTAAAATGGCAATTACATTTACAACTATAAAGGATGTGCTGGAGTGAGAGAAGTCCCCATATTTTGGGGCAGCTGAAGCCTTGTGAGCCAGCAGCGTCTGAAAGGCTGCTGAGGTCCAGAGAGGCCTCACTCTGCCAAAGTGGGGGGGGGTCATCTCTCCGTGTGTGAACTGGAACAGTGATGGAACCACACTCCAAATGGTGGTGTGTTCCATGGGTGGAAGACTGAAAGGTCTCCGTTCCCAGTTTGCCAGGTGTATACACTAGACCAGGGGTTTTCAGGGGGTCTTGATACAATCAGTTATAATCATCTGTTTTACGCGACACGGCAAAATTTCAGCAAGGGAACGAGAAATATTAGAGAGCCTCCCCAGTCCTTAGTTCTTAGTTACTAATGTGATCATGCATTGTGGCGATGGTCCCCATCTTGTTCGTGTCTTGGGGTTGGCTGCGGTCTGTCTGTGGGCGTGGCCTGTAACGTGACTCCACCCACTGTGCCACTCTCTACTCTACCCTCCCCCCGACCGCTCGGCAGATTTTCGAGGGGAACCAGAACTACGACACGCCGGAGCTGCGGATGCTGGATCCGCTGGTGACGCGCTTCCTGAGGGTGTACCCCGAGAAGGGCGGCACTGTCGGCATGGGGCTGCGGCTGGAGCTGCTCGGCTGCAACCTGCAAGGTGGGTCTTGGGTCTCAAGAGTAACAAAGATGGGGGTTCAGCGTAACATGTGGGCCCTGCAAATCGGCAGGTGACCACACCCTATCCCCCAATCGCATTGTAGAGGAGGCAGGTCCAAGCAACTAGAC